TAATCTCCTACGGATTGCTTTGGTTGATATGGAAAGCGAGGAATGATCGGATATTCAAGCAACGTTTCATCTCTCCAACATTGGTGGCTCATAACATCAAATCGTTGGTATACTTGTGGTTAAAACACAAAGGTGAAAATAAGGGGATCAAATGGGTGATGTGGAGTATTTCCCCCTTCTTATGCTTATAACCATTTAGCTTTTCCTGCACTTCCTGCTTTTCATGTATCTCTTGTTTTTGTTCTCTTGCTGGCTAGCTTCTTGTTAGTTCTGGTCTTTTATAATATTATTTGCCGTTTCCAAAAAAAAGTATAAAATATGAAATAGAGTAATAAATTGTTTGGGGACGAGGTTGACATTCACAAAAGCTCATTTAATATTTTTAATATTAATCCTTTATAAATTAATCATCCTTAAGTATTCCATCTTTTACATCTCCACATCATCATCAGCTTTATCTGTATCTTTGACTTGAGTAGCATTGGTGCAAGGAGATTTGCCAAAACTCCAAACATATTTTGATGAAAATCTATTATATTATCTTTTGCTCGTTTAAAATATTGTCGGCTTTATTTTCAAGCCTTACAAACATCATTGTCTTCTCTCCTTTCTCACTCTTAGTTCATTGCCTTCTCGAGAAGAAGACAATTCACAATTTTGTGGAGAGGTTGAAACAATTTATGTATTATGCTTGACAAAAACATCGTGTAGACAAATTAAGGGAAATATAATGAACAAGAATTGTATGCACTGAACTTAAAGAAGCATATTGATTGATTTAGTAGTTGTTATACTTGTTTGTGACATTACTAGATAATTATGAGTTAGCACAACTAATTAGTAAAAGGAAACCAAAATCAAAATAAAAATGTACTAAAAATAGGAGTGTGATAATTAAAAAAGTTTGGGTCTAACGACTAACAATCGTATATAGTATACAAAACTAAAAATTTATTTTTAAATTAAATACATCCCTACTAATCTTTGTTTTTCGCTGGTGTCAAGCACATGGATCTCAATCCGCTTCCACTCCTAATATCAAATCTCAGCCGTCTAATTTCTCTTCCAGTAATCTAACCGTCTAAATCTCGTGCTACAAGTCCACCTCAAAATTGTCAAAATTTGTAAAAATTGTTCTCAAGAACCCTAATAAAAACCACTAACTCCTAATTTCTTGATTCCGACACACCACCATAGATTAGGAGCATCGAACCAGAATTTGTAAAAATATATGTTCAGGGTCCTTGTATATTGAATTATATATTATAATACATTCAGTTATATATTATCCTATAAGTTGAGAACAGGGACAACCACAACTTGTGGACTAAAATGTGACACGTGAAGTAATATTTTCCTACATATATAGAATTTTTTTTACTAATAATTACAATTAATATGTTCTTGTTAACAATTACTTAATTGATGTTTAGGATTTTATTTTCTATAATATATACAATTTTATATTTATTTTTTATTTTCGCCCCGCTTTGTCTCGAGGCTTACGCCTTGTGTGGCGAAGGGAAAACGCTTCTGGGCTCGATTTGTTCTTTTAAACCTTGGTACCCAAAAATGTTTTTACAAAGACCATATACAACTTTTTTTGTTTACGTTTTGTGAATTGATCAGCTGAATATGTAAAATGAAAGAATCAAAGAATAAATCATGTTAATTTTACATGAAAATAAGATTTTATTGTCAAATTTCTGAACGGTCTTTTGTTATGGCATATTATAAAGTTGCATTGGCATGTGTTTTCAACTTATATGACACGAGACATTTGGATTATGTTACTTTCTGCTCTGCAACAAGAATGAAGACTTATAGGCACAATGATCTTTATGCGGAAAATTATAAGGATATGGGGTATGGTCACCATCAACCCATTAAAAAAGTGATGCAACGTATATGCCACATCATCTTCACTAGCATTTGGATATGGTTATCTCTCCACATTATTTATCTTTTTATTTATTTTATTTATTTTTTTTGACATTGTATTAAATAAAAAACATAATTATTATACATAAATAAATATTTTATAAATGCAAAAAGAACATTTACTTAATAAAAATAATAATTTTAAAATCCAACAAGCATTTTAACAAAAATAACATTAATAATTGGAAACAAAAATCTAACTTAGAAATTGAAAATACATAAAATTTAAAGCTTACATTACTAACTATAACGCTCCAAAAATTTATAATAACTTTTCATTTGCAAAATAGTAAACCATACAAAAGAGTTGTTCCAAAACCGATTAAACAGAGTATGCTATTTAAACATCAGAGTAAAGATCATAATTTGCCAATGCGGAAAACTCGGGGGGGGGGGGGGGGGGGGGGGATGTTGTGCAGTCACGCCGGACCCTTCCTTTTCGAATCGGAAATACCTGAAACCATAAACATAAAATCGTAAGTACAAAGCTTAGTGAGTCCCTAAAATACCACATACAATACACATATACATATAACATCATGTGGTTGTGTCTGGTTTGTATTAACCCCATATGACGGGTCCGTATCAACCTATGCGACAACAAGTAGCTATGTCGGGTCCGTATCAACCCGAGTCCGTTTCAACAATGGGAGTAGTTTAGATTTCGGTCTTCCTCGATGATAATACACACCAAAAATCCCCAGTTTTCGAAATAAATATTTTTTGATCTTCATAATAAATCAAACCTGTAAGGTTGGAACTCGACTCCAAATTTGGTCTTTGTTTGAATCGATGATATACACACCACGACGGGGGTAGGGGTATGAGTCAGATGATATGATGGCTGACGGTGTATATTATTGGAAGATGGATTTTATGGTTTAGTGAAATATTTTGTGTATATAAAAATAGAGATATAGTTTAGGTGGGTTGGAGTTTGAAGTTGAGGAGTTTTCCTTTTGTTTTATAATTTATTAATAATAAATAAATGATAAGTAAATTAGAAAGAAAATCGGCAAGGGTGACGATTATAATAATTAATTGGTAAATGCTAAATGAAAAATTAACAAAGTAGAAAATTAATGTGATAAACTATAATGTATTGCAAATATAAGAGTAAAATGATTATGAGTCATACATATAATCAAATAACATAGTTCTAGTCAAATATAGTCTCAATTAAATTCACACCCAATCAGGTTTGTGAATCAATAAGTAATTATCAAATACCCCTTAAGTTCACCGCCTTCTCAAGGACAATTCATGCATCATGCTTGACAAAAATCATCTTGTCGACAAAGGAAAATATAGCGGATAAAGTTGTAGGGAAAATGACTTGCGAGGGTAATTGCATTTTGGCCTTGTTCACGTTTAGGTAATTTTTTTTTCTATACATATTTAACCATTTAACTTGTTAAATGTGTTCACATATTACCATTGTCATCTGCTATACCAGGTGACAAAAATAATATGTGAACACATTTAACAAGTTAAATAGTCAAATGTGTACAAAAAATAAAGTTGCTTAAATGTGAACAATTTTATTATTATTATTGTTTTTAATTATAAATTTCTTAAGATATTTTATATTTTCTTACAATATTTTTATGATATTTTTTCCTATAAGTTTTTCTAATATAATGTTTTGAACTTTACTTATAATATTTTTTAAACTTTTTTTTATACTTTCATATAATTTTATTACAAGTGATTTTAAACAATATATTTTATAAATGTTTTAAAATTTTCTTACAGGTTTTAAACTTTTTTTTGTTTTAGTTTTTTTTTATAACTTTCATACATTTATTTATAAACTTTCTTTTACAACATTTTTAAAATGTTTCATAGATTTTGTATAACAATTTATATTTTTTATAACATTTAAAAATATTTCTGTTAAATATTAGTTTAAAACGTTGTATTACAAAAATTAAAAGTTTATAAACTTCTAATTAAAAAGAATTAAAAAGTTGGAATAATTTTAAAACATTTACATTATATAGATTTTTTTTGTTTTTTTAAATGCTAAGTAATATTTTCTTTTTATTTTTTAAAAGATCCTCCATACTTATTGTTACATATTTAATTTATTTAATTTTATTGTTAGATATTATTTATTTTAAAAATATTGTATATGCTTAAAAACAAAAGAAAAAAATTATAAGAGACTATATAAAATATTTCACAAAATAAAAACATATTTATTAATTAAAAGGTAATGTTTAAAATTGATCAATATTTAATTAATATTTAGGAAAATATGGATATTTTAAAATAACGTTTGAAAAAAATAACACAAACGAGTATTAAAACTAAAATCGTTATTAAAAGTGGGGAAAATGAATTATCAGAGTAATTAATTTTTCATTTTATTCACATTTATTCAAATTTTTTTATACACATTTGACCATTTAATTTGTTAATTTTTCACATATTACCATTGTCAAATGCTATAACCGATGATAATTGCAATATGTGAACACATATAACAAGTTAAATGGTCAAATGTGTACAAAAAAAAATTACCAAAATATAAACAAAACGATAAAGATGATTACATTGATAAGTTATTTTCCTAAAGTTATATTATTGAACAGAAATAAGCATATTGATTTGGCTTGGTAGATGTTATCTTTGTTTGTGCTAGATAATTATGAGTTAGCACAACTATTAAGAGAAAATAAATCAAAATCAAAATAAAATGTAATAGGATTGTTATAATTAAAAAACTTTGGTTCTAACAATCGTATACTATTAGAAATTAGAAATTTAATTTTAAATTAAAGATATCCCTCCTAATTTTTGTTTTTCGCGGGCGTGGAACACATGGATCTCAATCCGCGTCCACTCCTAATATCAAATCTCAGCCGTCTAATTTCTCTTCCAGTAATCTAACCGTCTAAATCTCACGCTACAAGTCCACCTCAAAATTTTCAAAATTTGCCAAAATTGTTTTCAAGAACCCTAATAAAAACCACTCAACTCCTAATGAAATCACCATCTGCAATCAAATCTCTGTCTAGTCTAAACACAGTCAACATTTTCTTGTTAGCTAAAATATGGCCAGAACAAAGCAAACTGCTCGCAAATCCACCGGAGGAAAAGCTCCAAGGAAGAAACTGGTGACTAAGGCGGCCAGGAAATCTGCTCCGACGACCGGAGGAGTGAAGAAGCCTCACAGATTCAGGTCGGGAACAGTCGTGCTGAGGGAAATCCGTAAGTATCAGAAAATCACTCAGGAAACTTCCGTTTCAAAGACTAGTAAGAGAGATTGCTCAGAATTTTAAGACGGATCTGAGGTTTCCGAGCAGTGTTGTGGCTGCGCTTCAAGAGGCGTCAGAGGCTTATTTGGTCGGATTGTTTGAGGATACCAATTTGTGTGCGATTCATGCAAAGAGAGTGACAATCATGCCGAAAGATATGCAGTTGGCTAGGAGGATCAGAGGCGAGCGAGCCTAGATTTGTCATTACATAAAATTAGGGTTTATTTTGGTACTACCCTAAAATGGTGATTAAGGGTTCATGATTTCCAATTTAGTTATTCCAAAATTGTTATGTTTTAATGAAAATGAATTGATGATTTTCGTAGATCTACTGTTTGATGTTGTTTATAGCGTTTGATTGAATTTGTAGCCAGCTAAAATGATGAAACTAATCAGATTACAAAAAACTGTTGGTGGATAAATTATAACACAAATCCTTTGTGCTGATAATGAAAAAATGAGTAGTATCAGTTCACGATGATGAACCGTGTGAAAGTTGCCAAACGTGGCTAATACAAGGATTTATATTTAATCTTAATATCTTGTATCGACATTTTTTTTGTGCTCTGTGAGCCTGTTTACATAAATATTTAATTAATGAAATTTACCCCTTAAGTTCACCGCCTTCTCAAGGACAATTCATGCATCATGCTTGACAAAAATAATCTTGTTGGCAAAGGAAAATATAGCGTATAAAGTTGTAGGGAAAATGACTTACGAGGGTAATTACATTTTCGCTTGGTTCACGTTTATGTAACTTTTTTTTTTCTGTACATATTTGACCATTTAATTTGTTAAATGTGTTCACATATTAACATTGTCATCTGCTATACCAGGTGACAAAGATAATACGTGAACACATTTAACAAGTTAAATGGTCAAATGTGTACAAAAAATAAAGTTGTTTAAATGTGAACAATTTTATTATTATTATTATTTTTAATTATAAATTTCTTAAGATATTTTATATTTTCTTACAATATTTTTATGATATTTTTTCTTATAAGTTTTTCTAATACAATGTTTTGAACTTTATTTATAATATTTTTTAAACTTTTTTTATACTTTCATATAATTTTATTACAAGTGATTTTAAACAATATATTTTATAAATGTTTTAAAATTTTCTTACAGGTTTTAAACTTTTTTTTTGTTTTAGTTTTTTTTATAACTTTCATACATTTATTTATAAACTTTCTTTTACAACATTTTTAAAATGTTTCATAGATTTTGTATGACAATTTATATTTTTTATAACAATTAAAAATATTTCTGTTAAATATTAGTTTAAAACGTTGTATTACAAAAATTAAAAGTTTATAAACTTCTAATTAAAAAGAATTAAAAAGTTGGAATAATTTTAAAACATTTACATTATATAGATTTTTTTTTGTTTTTTTTAAATGCTAAGTAATATTTTCTTTTTATTTTTTAAATGATCCTCCATACTTATTGTTACATATTTAATTTATTTAATTTTATTGTTAGATATTATTTACTTTAAAAATATTGTATATGCTTAAATATAAAAGAAAAAAACTATAAGAGACTATATAAAATATTTCACAAAATAAAAACATATTTATTAATTAAAAGATAATGTTTAAAATATTTCACAAAATAAAAACATATTTATTAATTAAAAGACTATATAAAATATTTCACAAAATAAAAACATATTTATCAATATTTAATTAATACTTAGGAAAGTATGAATATTTTAAAAATAACGTTTGAAAAAATAATACAAACGAATATTAAAAATAAAATCGTTATTAAAAGTGAGGAAAATGAATTATCAGAGTAATTAATTTTTCGTTTTGTTCACATTTATGCAACTTTTTATATACACATTTGACCATTTAATTTGTTAATTTTTCACATATTACCATTGTCAAATGCTATAACCGATGATAATTTTAATATGTGAACACATATAAAAAGTTGAATGGTCAAATGTGTACAAAAATAAAAAAATTACCTAAATGTAAATAAAACGATAAAGATGATTACTCTGGTAAGTTATTTTCCTAAAGTTATATTATTGAACCGAAAGAAGCATATTGATTTGGCTTGGTAGATGTTATCTTTATTTGTGCTAGATACTTATGAGTTAGCACAACTATTAAGAGAAAATAAATCAAAATCAAAATAAAATGTAATAGGATTTTTATAATTAAAAAACTTTGGTTCTAACAATCGTATACTATTAGAAATTAGAAATTTAATTTTAAATTAAAGATATCCCTCCTAATCTTCGTTTTTCGCGGGCGTGGAACACATGGATCACAATCCGCATCCACTCCTAATATCAAATCTCAGCCGTCTAATTTCTCTTCTAGTAATCTAACCGTCTAAATCTCGCGCTACAAGTCCACCTCAAAATTTTCAAAATCTGCCAAAATTGTTTTCAAGAACCCTAATAAAAACCACACAACTCCTAACGAAATCACCATCTGCAATCAAATCTCTCTCTAGTCTAAACACAGTCAATATTTTCTTGTTAGCTAAAATATGGCCGGAACAAAGCAAACTGCTCGCAAATCCACCGAAGGAAAAGCTCCAAAGAAGTAACTGGCGACTAAGGCGGCCAGGAAATCTGCTCCGACGACCGGAGGAGTGAAGAAGCCTCACGGATTCTGGGAACAGTCGCACTGAGGGAAATCCGTAAGTATCAGAGAAAATCACGGAACAAGAAACTTCCGTTTCAAAGACTAGTAAGAGAGATTGCTCAGGATTTTAAGACGGATCTAAGGTTTCAGAGCAGTGCTGTGGCTGCGCTTCAAGAGGCGTTGGAGGCTTATTTGGTCGGATTGTTTGAGGATACCAATTTGTGTGCGATTCATGCAAAGAGAGTGACAATCATGCCGAAAGATATGCAGTTGGCTAGGAGGATCAGAGGCGAGCGAGCCTAGATTTATCGTTACATAAAATTAGGGTTTATTTTGGTACTACCCTAAAATGGTGATTAAGGGTTCATGATTTCCAATGTAGTTATTCCAAAATTGTTATGTTTTAATGAAAATGAATTGATGATTTTCGTAGATCTACTGTTTGATGTTGTTTATAGCGTTTGATTCAGTTTGTAGCCAGCTAAAATGATGAAACGAATTAGATTACAAAAAAAACTGTTGGGGGATAAATTATAACACAAATCCTTTGTGCTGATAATGAAAAAATGAGTAGTATCAGTTCACGATGATGAAGCATGTGAAAGTTGCCAAATGTGGCTAATACAAGGATTTATGTTTAATCTTAATATCTTATATCGATATTTTTTTTGTGCTCTGTAAGCCTGTTTACATAAATATTTAATTAATGAAATTTACCCCTTAAGTTCACCTCCTTCTCAAGGACAATTCATGCATCATGCTTGACAAAAATCATCTTGTCGACAAAGGAAAATATAGCGGATAAAGTTGTAGGGAAAATGACTTGCGAGGGTAATTACATTTTCGCATTGTTCACGTTTAGGTAACTTTTTTTTTCTGTACATATTTGACCATTTAACTTGTTAAATGTGTTCACATATTACCATTGTCATCTGCTATACCAGGTGACAAAGATAATATGTGAACACATTTAACAAGTTAAATTATCAATTGTGTACAAAAAATAAAGTTGCCTAAATGTGAACAATTTTGTTATTATTATTATTATTATTTTTAATTATAAGTTTCTTAAGATACTTTATATTTTCTTACAATATTTTTATGATATTTTTTCCTATAGGTTTTACTAATACAATGTTTTCAACTTATAATATTTTTTAAACTTTTTTTTATACTTTCATATAATTTTATTACAAGTGATTTTAAACAAAATATTTTATAAATGTTTTAAAATTTTCTTACAGGTTTTAAACTTTTTTTTTGTTTTAGTTTTTTTTATAACTTTCATACATTTGTTTATAAACTTTCTTTTACAACATTTTTAAAATGTTTCATAGATTTTGTATGACAATTTATATTTTTTATAACATTCAAAAATATTTATGTTAAATATTAGTTTAAAACATTGTATTAAAAAAATTTAAAGTTTATAAACTTCTAATTAAAAAGTATTAAAAAGTTGGAATAATTTTAAAACATTTAGATTATATAGATTGTTTTTAAATGCTAAGTAATATTTTCTTTTTATTTTTTAAAAGATCCTCCATATTTATTGTTACATATTTAATTTATTTAATTTTATTGTTAGATATTAATTACTTTAAAAATATTGTATATGCTTAAAAACAAAAGAAAAAAATTATAAGAGACTATATAAAATATTTCACAAAATAAAAACATATTTATTAATTAAAAGGTAATGTTTAAAAAGTGATCAATATTTAATTAATACTTAGGAAATTATGGATATTTTAAAAATAACGTTTGAAAAAAATAATACAAACGAATATTAAAAATAAAATCGTTATTAAAAGTGGGGAAAATGAATTATCAGAGTAATTAATTTTTCGTTTTGTTCACATTTATGCAACTTTTTATATACACATTTGACCATTTAATTTGTTAATTTTTCACATATTACCATTGTCAAATGCTATAACCGATGATAATTTTAATATGTGAACACATATAAAAAGTTGAATGGTCAAATGTGTACAAAAATAAAAAAATTACCTAAATGTAAACAAAACGATAAAGATGATTACTCTGGTAAGTTATTTTCCTAAAGTTATATTATTGAACCGAAAGAATCATATTGATTTGGCTTGGTAGATGTTATCTTTATTTGTGCTAGATACTTATGAGTTAGCACAACTATTAAGAGAAAATAAATCAAAATCAAAATAAAATGTAATAGGATTTTTATAATTAAAAAACTTTGGTTCTAACAATCGTATACTATTAGAAATTAGAAATTTAATTTTAAATTAAAGATATCCCTCCTAATCTTTGTTTTTCGCGGGCGTGGAACACATGGATCACAATCCGCATCCACTCCTAATATCAAATCTCAGCCGTCTAATTTCTCTTCCAGTAATCTAACCGTCTAAATCTCGCGCTACAAGTCCACCTCAAAATTTTCAAAATTTGCCAAAATTGTTTTCAAGAACCCTAATAAAAACCACTCAACTCCTAACGAAATCACCATCTGCAATCAAATCTCTCTCTAGTCTAAACACATTCAATATTTTCTTGTTAGCTAAAATATGGCCAGAACAAAGCAAACTACTCGCAAATCCACCAGAGGAAAAGCTCCAAGGAAGCAACTGCCGCCTAAGGCGGCCAGGAAATTGCTCCGACTACCGGATGAGTGAAGAAGCCGCCGGGAACAATCGAGCTGAGGGAAATCCGTAAGTATCAGAAAAGCACTGAACTTTTGATCAGGAAACTTCCGTTTCAAAGACTAGTAAGAGAGATTGCTCAGGATTTTAAGACGGATCTAAGGTTTCCGAGCAGTGCTGTGGCTGCGCTTCAAGAGGCGTCATAGGCTTATTTAGTTAGATTGTTTGAGGATACCAATTTGTGTGCGATTCATGCAAAGAGAGTGACAATCATGCCGAAAGATATGCAGTTGGCTAGGAGGATCAAAGGCGAGCGAACCTAGATTTATCGTTCCATACAATTACGGTTTATTTTGGTACTACCCTAAAATGGTGATTAAGGGTTCATGATTTCCAATGTAGTTATTCCAAAATTGTTATGTTTTAATGAAAATGAATTGATGATTTTCGTAGATGTACTGTTTGATGTTGTTTATAGCGTTTGATTCAATTTGTAGCCAGCTAAAATGATGAAACTAATGAGATTACAAAAAAAAAAACTGTTGGGGATAAATTATAACACAAATCCTTTGTGCTGATAATGAAAAAATGAGTAGTATCAGTTCACGATGATGAAGCATGTGAAAGTTGCCAAATGTGGCTAATACAAGGATTTATCTTTAATCTTAATATCTTATATCGATATTTTTTTTGTGCTCTGTGAGTCTGTTTACATAAATATTTAATTAATGAAATTTAACCCTTAAGTTCACCGCCTTCTCAAGGACAATTCATGCATCATGCTTGACAAAAATCATCTTGTCGACAAAGGAAAATATAGCGGATAAAGTTGTAGGGAAAATGACTTGCGAGGGTAATTACATTTTCGCCTTGTTCGCGTTTAGGTAACTTTTTTTTTTGTACATATGTGACCATTTAACTTGTTAAATTTGTTCACATATTATCATTGTCATCTGCTATAACAGGTGACAAAGATAATATGTGAACACATTTAACAAGTTAAACGGTCAAATGTGTACAAAAAATAAAGTTGCCTAAATATGAACAATTTTATTATTATTATTATTTTTAATTATAAATTTCTTAAGATATTTTATAGTTTCTTACAATATTTTTATGATATTTTAATACAATGTTTTCAACTTTACTTATAATATTTTTTAAACTTTTTTTTATACTTTCATATAATTTTATTACAAGTGATTTTAAACAAAATATTTTATAAATGTTTTAAAATTTTCTTACAGGTTTTAAACTTTTTTTTTGTTTTTGTTTTTTATAACTTTCATACATTTATTTATAATTGATCAATATTTAATTAATACTTAGGAAATTATGGATATTTTAAAAATAACGTTTGAAAAAAATAATACAAACGAATATTAAAAATAAAATTGTTATTAAATGTGGGGAAAATGAATTATCAGAGTAATTAATTTTTCGTTTTGTTCACATTTATGCAACTTTTTTTATATACATTTGACCATTTAATTTGTTAATTTTTCACATTACCATTGTCAAATGCTATAACCGATGATAATTTTAATATGTGAACATATATAACAAGTTAAATGGTCAAATGTGTACAAAAATAAAAAAATTACCTAAATGTAAACAAAACGATAAAGATGATTACCCTGGTAAGTTATTTTCCTAAAGTTATATTATTGAACCGAAAGAAGCATATTGATTTGGCTTGGTAGATGTTATCTTTGTTTGTGCTAGATAATTATGAGTTAGCACAACTATTAAGAGAAAATAAATCAAAATCAAAATAAAATGTAATAGGATTTTTATAATTAAAAAACTTTGGTTCTAACAATCGTATACTATTAGAAATTAGAAATTTAATTTTAAATTAAAGATATCCCTCCTAATCTTTGTTTTTCGCGGGCGTGGAACACATGGATCACAATCCGCGTCCACTCCGAATATCAAATCTCAGCCGTCTAATTTCTCTTCTAGTAATCTAACCGTCTAAATCTCGCGCTACAAGTCCACCTCAAAATTTTCAAAATTTGCCAAAATTGTTTTCAAGAACCCTAATTAAAACCACTCAACTCCTAACGAAATCACCATCTGCAATCAAATCTCTCTCTAGTCTAAACAGAGTCAATATTTTCTTGTTAGCTAAAATATGGCCAGAACAAAGCAAACTGCTCGCAAATCCACCGAAGGAAAAGCTCCAAGGAAGCAACTGGCGACTAAGGCGGCCAGGAAATCTGCTCCGGCGACCAGATGAGTGAAGAAGCCTCACATATTCAGGCCGGGAACAGTCGTGCTGAGGGAAATCCGTAAGTATCAGAAAATCACTGAACTTTTGATCAGGAAACTTCCATTTCAAAGACTAGTAAGAGAGATTGCTCAGGATTTTAAGACGAATATGAGGTTTCAGAGCAGCAGTGTTGTGGCTGCGCTTCAAGAGGCGTCGGAGGCTTATTTGGTCGGATTGTTTGAGGATACCAATTTGTGTGCGATTCATGCAAAGAGAGTGACAATCATGCCGAAAGATATGCAGTTGGCTAGGAGGATCAGAGGCGAGCGAGCCTAGATTTATCGTTACATAAAATTAGTGTTTATTTTGGTACTAACCTAAAATGGTGACTAAGGGTTCATGATTTCCAATGTAGTTATTCCAAAATTGTTATGTTTTAATGAAAATGAATTAATGATTTTCGTAGATCTACTGTTTGATGTTGTTTATAGCGTTTGATTGAATTTGTACCCAACTAAAATGATGAAACTAATCAGATTACAAAAAACTGTTGGTGGATAAATTATAACACAAATCCTTTGTGCTGATAATGAAAAAACGAGTAGTATCAGTTCACGATGATGAACCGTGTGAAAGTTGCCAAACGTGGCTAATACAAGAATTTATCTTTAATCTTAATATCTTGTATCGATATTTTTTTTGTGCTCTGTGAGCCTGTTTACATAAATATTTAATTAATGAAATTTAACCCTTAAGTTCACCGCCTTCTCAAGGACAATTCTGCATCATGCTTGACAAAAATCATCTTGTCGACAAAGGAAAATATAGCGGATAAAGTTGTAGGGAAAATGACATGCGAGTGTAATTACATTTTCGCCTTGTTCACGTTTAGATAACTTTTTTTTATACATAATTGACCATTTAACAAGTTAAATGGTCAAATGTGTACAAAAAATAAAGTTGCCTAAATGTGAACAATTTTATTATTATTATTATTTTTAATTATAAATTTCTTAAGATATTTTATATTTTCTTACAATATTTTTATGATATTTTTTCCTATAGGTTTTTCTAATACAATGTTTTGAACTTTATTTATAATATTTTTTAAACTTTTTTTTTATACTTTCATATAATTTTATTACAAGTTATTTTAAACAAAATATTTTATAAATGTTTTAAAATTTTCTTACAGGTTTTAAACTTTTTTTTTGTTTTTGTTTTTTTATAACTTTCATACATTTGTTTATAACTTTCTTTTACAACATTTTTAAAATGTTTCACAGATTTTGTATGACAATTTATATTTTTTATAACATTTAAAAATATTTATGTTAAATATTAGTTTAAAACGTTGTATTAAAAAAATTAAAAGTTTATAAACTTCTAATTAAAAAGTATTAAAAAGTTGGAATAATTTTAAAACATTTACATTATATAGATTTTTTTTGTTTTTTTAAATGCTAAGTAATATTTTCTTTTTATTTTTTAAAAGATCATCCGTACTTATTGTTACATATTTAGTTTATTTAATTTTATTGTTTAGATAATATTTACTTTAAAAATATTGTATATGCTTAAAACCAAAAGAAAAAAATTATAAGAGACTATATAAAATATTTCACAAAATAAAAACATATTTATTAATTAAAAGGTAATGTTTAAAATTGATCAATATTTAATTAATACTTAGGAAATTATGGATATTTTAAAAATAACGTTTGAAAAAAATAATACAAACGAATATTAAAAATAAAATCGTTATTAAAAGTGGGGAAAATGAATTATCTGAGTAATTAATTTTTCGTTTTGTTCACATTTATTCAACTTTTTTTATACACATTTGACCATTTAATTTGTTAATTTTTCACATATTACCGTTGTCAAATGCTATAACCGATGATAATTGCAATATGTGAACACATATAACAAGTTAAATTGTCAAATGTGTACAAAAATAAAAAAATTACCTAAATGTAAACAAAACGATAAAGATGATTACCCTGGTAAGTTATTTTCCCAAAGTTATATTAGTGAACCAAAAGAAGCATATTGATTTGGCTTGGTAGATGTTATCTTTGTTTGTGCTAGATAATTATGAGTTAGCACAACTATTAAGAGAAAATAAATCAAAATCAAAATAAAATGTAATATGATTGTTATAATTAAAAAACTTTGGTTCTAACAATCGTATACTATTAGAAATTAGAAATTTAATTTTAAATTAAAGATATCCCTCCTAATCTTTGTTTTTCGCGGGCGTGGAACACATGGATCTCAATCCGCGTCCACTCCTAATATCAAATCTCACCCGTCTAATTTCTTTTCTAGTAATCTAACCGTCTAAATCTCGCGCTACAAATCCACCTCAAAATTTTCAAAATTTGCCAAAATTGTTTTCAAGAACCCTAATAAAAACCACTCAACTCCTAACGAAATCACCATCTGCAATCAAATCTCTCTCTAGTCTAGACACAGTCAATATTTTCTTGTTAGCTAAAACATGGCCAGAACAAAGCAAACTGCTCGCAAATCCACCAGAGGAAAAGCTCCAAGGAAGCAACTGGCGACTAAGGCGGCCAGGAAATCTGCTCCGGCGACCGGAGGAGTGAAGAAGCCTCACATTCAGGCCGGGAACAGTCGCGCTGAGGGAAATCCGTAAGTATCAGAAAATCAAATCACTGAACTTTTGATCAAAAAACTTCCGTTTCAAAGACTAGTAAGAGAGATTGCTCAGGATTTTGAGACGGATCTGAGGTTTCAGAGCAGTGTTGTGGTTGCGCTTCAAGAGGCGTCGAAGGCTTATTTGGTCGGATTGTTTGAGGATACCAATTTGTGTGTGATTCATGCAAAGAGAGTGACAATCATGCCGAAAGATATGCAGTTGGCTAGGAGGATCAGAGGCGAGCGAGCCTAGATTTATCGTTACATAAAATTACGGTTTATTTTGGTACTACCCTAAAATGGTGATTAAGGGTTCATGATTTCCAATGTAGTTATTCCAAAATTGTTATGTTTTAATGAAAATGAATTGATGATTTTCGTAGATCTACTGTTTGATGTTGTTTATAGCGTTTGATTCAATTTGTAGCCAGCTAAAATGATGAAACTAATCGGATTACAAAAAAAAAAAAAAACTGTCGGGGGGATAAATTATAACACAAATCCTTTGTGCTGATAATGAAAAAATGAGTAGTATCAGTTCACGATGATGAAGCGTGTGAAAGTTGCCAAACGTGGCTAATACAAGGATTTATCTTTAATCTTAATATCTTATATCGATATTTTTTTTGTGCTCTCTGAGCCTGTTTACATAAATATTTAATTAATGAAATTTACCCCTTAAGTTCACCGCCTTCTCAAGGACAATTCATGCATCAGGCTTGACAAAAATCATCTTGTCGACAAAGGAAAATATAGCGTATAAAGTTGTAGGGAAAATGACTTGCGAGGGTAATTACATTTTCGCTTGGTTCACGTTTAGGTAACTTTTTTTTTCTGTACATATTTGACCATTTAATTTGTTAAATGTGTTCACATATTATCATTGTCATCTGCTATACCAGGTGACAAAGATAATATGTGAACACATTTAACAAGTTAAATTATCAATTGTGTACAAAAAATAAAGTTGCCTAAATGTGAACAATTTTTTTATTATTATTATTTTTAATTATAAATTTCTTAAGATATTTTATATTTTCTTACAATATTTTTATGATATTTTTTCCTATAGGTTTTTCTAATACAATGTTTTCAACTTTTCTTATAATATTTTTTAAACTTTTTTTTATACTTTCATATAATTTTATTACAAGTGATTTTAAACAAAATATTTTATAAATGTTTTAAAATTTTCTTACAGGTTTTAAACTTTTTTTTTTGTTTTGTTTTTTTTATAACTTTCATACATTTATTTATAAACTTTCTTTTACAACATTTTAAAAATGTTTCATAGATTTTGTATGACAATTTATATTTTTTATAACATATAAAAATATTTAAGTTAAATATTAGTTTAAAACGTTTTATTAAAAAAATTAAAAGTTTATAAACTTCTAATTAAAAAGTATTAAAAAGTTGGAATAATTTTAAAACATTTACATTATATAGATTTTTTTTAAATGCTAAGTAATATTTTCTTTTTATTTTTTAAAAGATTCTCCATAATTATTGTTACATATTTAATTTATTTAATTTTATTGTTAGATATTATTTACTTTAAAAATATTGTATATGCTTAAAAACAAAAGAAAAAAATTATAAGAGACTATATAAAATATTTCACAAAATAAAAACATATTTATTAATTAAAAGGTAATGTTTAAAATTGATCAATATTTAACTAATATTTAGGAAATTATGGATATTTTAAAAATAACATTTGAAAAAAATAACACAAACGAATATTAAAAATAAAATCGTTATTAAAAAGTGGTGAAAATGAATTATCATAGTAATTAATTTTTCGTTTTGTTCACATTTATGCAACTTTTTTTATACACATTTGACCATTTCATTTGTTAATTTTTCAGATATTACCATTGTCAGATGCTATAACCGATGATAATTGCAATATGTGAACACATATAACAAGTTAAATTGTCAAATGTGTACAAAAATAAAAAAATTACCTAAATGTAAACAAAACGATAAAGATGATTACCCTGGTAAGTTATTTTCCTAAAGTTATATTATTGAACCGAAAGAAGCATATTGATTTGGCTTGGTAGATGTTATCTTTGTTTGTGCTAGATAATTATAAGTTAGCACAACTATTAAGAGAATAAATAAAAATGAAAATAAAATGTAATAGGATTGTTATAATTAAAAAAGTTTGTTTCTAACAATCGTATACTATTAGAAATTAGAAATTTAATTTAAATTAAAGTTATCCCTGCTAATCTTTGTTTTTCGCGGGCGTGGAACACATGGATCTCAATCCGCGTCCACTCTTAATATCAAATCTCAGCCGTCTAATTTCTCTTCCAGTAATCTAACCGTCTAAATCTCGCGCTACAAGTCCACCTCAAAATTTTCAAAATTTGCCAAAATTGTTTTCAAGAACCCTAATAAAAACCACTCAACTCCTAACGAAATCACCATCTGCAATCAAATCTCTCTCTAGTCTAAACACAGTCAATATTTTCTTGTTAGCTAAAATATGGTCAGAACAAATCAAACTGCTCGCAAATCTACCGGAGGAAAAGCTCCAAGGAAGCAACTGGCGACTAAGGCGGCCAGGAAATCTGCTCCGGCGACCGGAGGAGTGAAAAAGCCTCACAGATTCAGGCCGGGAACAGTCGCGCTGAGGGAAATCCGTACGTATCAGAAAAGCACTGAACTTTTGATCAGGAAACTTCCGTTTCAAAGACTAGTAAGAGAGATTGCTCAGGATTTTAAGACGAATCTGAGGTTTCAGAGCAGTGTTGTGGTTGCGCTTCAAGAGGCGTCGGAGGCTTATTTGGTCGGATTGTTTGAGGATACCAATTTGTGTGCGATTCATGCAAAGAGAGTGACAATCATGCCGAAAGATATGCAGTTGGCTAGGAGGATCAGAGGCGAGCGAGCCTAGATTTATCGTTACATAAAATTACGGTTTATTTTGGTACTACCCTAAAATGGTGATTAAGGGTCCATGATTTCCAATGTAGTTATTCCAAAATTGTTATGTTTTAATGAAAATGAATTGATGATTTTCGTAGACCTACTATTTGATGTTGTTTATAGCGTTTGATTGAATTTGTAGCCAGCTAAAATGATGAAACTAATCGGATTACAAAAAAAAAAAAAAAAAAACTGTTGGGGGGATAAATTATAACACAAATCCTTTGTGCTGATAATGAAAAAATGAGTAGTATCAGTTCACGATGATGAAGCGTGTGAAAGTTGCCAAACGTGGCTAATACAAGGATTTATCTTTAATCTTAATATCTTATATCGATATTTTTTTTTGTGCTCTTTGAGTCTGTTTACATAAATATTTAATTAATGAAATTTGTTATATATGCAAGTTTTTAAAATGTTTTAGCGTGATGTTTTCTAGTTTATTAAGGCGTGTTATCAATTTTGAAAAGTCTTTTTTTGGTTGTATTATCAATCGTGTATGAATAAAAAGCCGATGTCCTTAATTTACTGGTTTTTTAATGAATATGACAGCGATATATTTGTGAGTCAATGTGCTAAATTATATGAGCATATGGTATTCAACTCAAGTTTGGGTTCTAGAGCATTATTGAGTTATGGATTATTGTACGTGGGGTGTTTAATGTGATGGCTATGTGGTTATGCCATCACTATTTAGATTTATGCTTAAAATTAAGAATCAGATTTGGGATTTAAGTACTACATTTATGTAAGTTTTATGGTTCACATTGTAAGATCTTGGGAATTCATTGTGACCGTTGAGGTAATCTATGCTACTGAAAGCTTGGGATTTTGCAAATTGTATAGAGCATCACTTTAAATGAACCAAGACTAGCCTTAAAAATATCTGACTTAAAGTAAGGAAGAACGATTTTGGGAGAATGCTACTCTAACACAACGAAGTTTGGTGATTTTACCCATTTAGTCACTCAATTTTTTTCGCAATTAGTCCTTAAAGTAAGCAATTACTGTCTAATTAAACCATTATGGACCGGATAAACGGAACAAACGGTTGTATTTCCTGATGTGACATTACAATAAATTAGATATAAACATTATTAAATCCACATATGTAAATGAAGTCAAACACATCACATTAAATCACACAAAACTACACTCATGTCTGTTCTTTCTCATCTCAGTGACCAAGAACGGAAAAACCTTAGGTTCAAACTCGTTTTCCCCTATTGACGTCAGGGAGCAGCCAACCATCCAATAATGTCAACCTCGATGCCAAACCCTGATCGATTGTATCCTCTAGCGAAGCTCAACTTTAAAGGTGTTTTTTCTTCGAAATCCTTTCTCGTATAATCATGTTATCAAATTCACGTTCAATGATCACGATTTTTTGGAACGACATACTATGAGTGTATCACCTTTCTCGAATGGTTCATGCAAGAAAGTATAAATAAGTTACACTATTTTGAGTCAGGTAAGCCTTATTGTTTGGGATAACTGCTATTACTAATAATGGAGATTACTTTGGTTTCATTTTTGATGCTTATGGAACCGATGATATAATTTCCCTCTATGTGGACCATGTTGGTGAAGGAACAGAGGATTGGTTTGGTTCTGAGATAGAAGAAGGAGATGGTGATGATTCATGCATTGATGGTGGGGAAAATGAAGAGGAAATTGATAACCTTAGAGATGTGGAGGTGGACTTTAATGAAGATATAATCACTATGAACAGAACAAAGGGTGACAGGGGCGGAACACATACACCAAAACTAGGGGGGCCGAACCCAAAACCAACCGTTCGTAATTTTTTTTGGGATTTTGAGAAGTACTTACATGTTTTTTAAACCCGATCAGTTAATTGTTATTTCATGCCAATGTTCACTAAATAAAAAAATTAACTAATATATAAAAACAATTAAATAACATTAAAAACGATTAACAAACATTTTTTTTCAAAAAATTAATTATTTTTCTTTTATTAAGATTGTTTTACAAAAAGTTGAAGTATAATTAACAACTAGCAAATTAATTAACATTTAAACATTATTAAAATAAAATAATGAACAAATACTTTTTTAAATTTTAACAAACAACATCATTCGGTAGAAACTTTCAATTTTTAAAGTAAAATACCCACTAATATGTTTTACTTACTAAAATAATAATAATTTTAAAAATAATAAATAATAGAAAGCTGTCAGCCTCCTTTTACCTTTTCACAATCTATGGTTACTTTTTTAGAATTCATAATTTCATATCTTCAAAACCTTCTTCACCTAATATTACCAGTGAGATAAAGAGAGAAAAGAGACGACATATAGGAAAGTGCGATGCACATCGGAGGTCGCTGCTTCGAATAAATGACATGTGCGACAAACGGCGGAGAGCAGATAGAGATTAACACTACGCCGACTGTGATGTTATCTGGTGAGGCTTGAGAATCCCTTCTCCGATGGAAGCTATGATTTTTAGGGGTTTTTCATTTGTTCAAAGTTTTGAGGAAATAAGTTCTTACATTATAATAAGTTATTTGGTTTTTATATAGAGTTCTAGTTTTCGAATTAAATGTCAACCTGATAAGATCGGTTTTGAATTTTCAGTGATTTCGGGTTTGATGTTAGTTTCTGTTTAGCTTCCTAATTTTTGTTTTGATTTTTTCAGTGATTTTCGGGGTTGATGTTAAATTTTTGTTTAGCTTCCTAATTTATTAGTCTATAACTTATTAAGATCTGTACGAATTCTTTAAATCAGTTAGATGTATATACAAGTAATCCTAAAATTCGGGGGGCCATAAGATCGGTTTCTGATATTTTTTTCTTTTTTGTAAAAGAAAAAATAGAATACGAGATACATATGTATACATTTATTAATAAGTAAAAAAGGCTGGGGGGCCATGGCCCCCCTGTCCCTATAGACGCTCCGCCACTGAAGGGTGATAAGTTTTTGAGTAAATTATGCGGTGAAGAGGAGGAGGAAAATGATAACAACAAAGATGATGATGATGATGGGGTTGAAACAGTTGCCATAAATCAAGAACATTCGATTTTAATGAGCCAATACCATGGAAAGAATAGGTTTCAATACTTGGTATAAGATTTCAAGATCCAACTCAATTAAATTCTATGTTATGCAACTATGATGTTGCCAATGGGTACCGACTTTGCTTTGAGAAAAATGATAGAAAAGATTGTTGGTTAAGTGTTGTTGTAACACCGTAAATTTTCAAACAAAATTTTCATTTTTAAAACACATAATTCTCATTAACACATTTCTCAAAGACCCCAAAGTGTCAATTATCAAAAACACAAATCCATAATTGTTTGAATGAAAATCCAGGATCCTCAAAACATAACTCCATCCCGTGTGTACAATCAAGCCGACGCCTTCCCGCGATCCTGAGAAGTACCTGAAACACATATCACATAACACGATAAGCATAAAGTTTAGTGAGTTCCCCAAAATACCACACACATCTCATTTGCCTCTCATGGCTATATCTCAATAAAGACCCTCCGGTCGATGTGTCTCGGTGGAGACCCTCCGGTCCCACAACTCGGGTTGGACCCTCCGGTCCTAACTCAATAAATCTTAGAATAATACACATCATAAATCACAAAGACATAATGCAGGATATCAAAATACTCAATAATAGCATACAAGACCCTCCGATCACACAAAGTTACCACTCATCGTAAGTATAGTGAGAAGACTCACCTCATAAGCAAGCAAGTAAACCTCGTACCCCTCAAACGGTCTAATCTCCGCCTACATGTCATAATTATCTCTAATTAACACTTATAACCTCAACTCTAGATAAATTCGGTCAACCTCTCTCTCTAACTCTTGGAATTGGTAAAAGACCATTTTACCCCTCCATGGTCTCCATAATCCAAGTCTTGACCAAACCCTAAAAGTCAACAGAAGTCAACACTCGAGTCAACAGTCCCTGTTGACCCAACTCGGCGAGTGCACCTATGTGAATCGTCGAGTCCCTATTGTCCTCAGAAGAATCGGGAAAACTCCAACTCAACTCGTCGAGTTGTCTCGTCAACTCGCCGAGTTGTAGCGCATCCAACCTATTGGGGAAAAACCCTAACTGACTCGTCGAGTTGGCTCATGCACTCGTCGAGTCCCTCTTGACCAATTCTCATTCAGTCGATTCTAAGCAAAAATATTGTCTTAAACTATAGATCTAACTTCCCAAGGCTAAAATACCACGTAAAGCTGCAAGCTTTATGTCCATGCATGGCACCTAGGGCTCGAAATGCCAAAACAAGCTCTATTATAGGGTTTAATGCATAAAGGCTTGCCTCTTGCTTGATAAAGCTTGGATCTTTGGGCTCAAAGAACCTCCTATAGTCCATATCTGAGGTTTCAATCTCATGACATGCTCAAGTGACTCAATACCCAAAAGATGGATGGGAGAAAACCCTAAAACTCCCTAGAATGAGATCTAACAAAAGAAATGGTCAAGATGGTAGCTTTTTACCTCCAAACAGAAGCTAATCACTGAAGAACACTGGATCCAAAGTCCCTCCTCGATCCAGTCCGTGTTGTCTCCAAATCTCCTTCTAAAAATGCACAAGAACACTCAAATTAATCTCTCTCTCTCTCTCTCTCTCACACACACACACACACAACGAGTGGAACTGGTCTAGGGTTTCTCACAAATCTCTAAAGTGACAAGGGTGGCGGAAATGAGGGATTAAGGTCCTTTAAATAGGACACAAACCGGAAAATTAGGGTTTCCTCGCACAACTCCTACTCGTCGAGTCGGGGTCCTCCGACTCGTCGAGTAGACTCTAAAAAATCCTGCGGCCATAGTAGTCTCTACTCAGCGAGTTGGTGCTCGCCAACTCGTGGAGTTGCCCTGTCAAAAGAAATAAAATAATTAAATATTGTACCTGGAAGTCAGCATGTTATATTTGCAAGGGTGAGTGCACATTCAGGTTGTAGGCATTCTGGATG